AGATGAGGTCTCACCAAGTTGCCCAGGCGGGTCTCGAACCCACGGGCTCAGGCAATCCACTCACCTCAGCCTCCCAAAGTGAGGGATTACAGGCTGAGCCACCGAGCCCGGCTGAAAAGGGGTATCCTAAATCTATATTATGGAGTCTAATCCTTAACTGCAGCGACTGCCTTTTCCTTTATCATTCATTTCCCCTTCCTCGACTTCAGTCAAGATCATTTTCTCAAGCACACTCCTGTCTCAGCCTCTAGATCATCTCTTCAAGCACACTCATGTCTCTGTATTTTGGTTCATATAAACACCCTTTTTAAAATCCACTCTTCCTTGGTCTGCCATTCCTACAAGGTTTATCTCAAGTGCCACATTAAAGTACTTAATCCAGTTCCAAGCACATACTGCTATTGTGCTACCATAGAAAGACAAGAGATTTAGAGTTAGTCTTCAGTTTGAAACCAAGCTCTACAATTTACTACAGGACCACTGGAAATTTACTCAGCCTTCTGAGTCCATTTCCTCGTCTGTAATGCAGGCAAAATAATTCAGACTGCAGTAGGTTTCTCAGAAAGATTAAATAAAACTAACTGGAAATGGTCAAGCACAGTTATCAGCAGATAATAGGATGGAATATGCATTAATATCTTTTCCTCCACAGTCTTATTTGATCACCTAAAAAAGTGATTGATCATTCTGTCCTAAGCACAAATGAATCAGATCTATCTTGAAAAGGAAATTACCAACCTCTCAGACAGTTCAGGTACTATTCAACATACTCATTCAGAAGGTTTTAAGTTCATCATATGTTGCTTGTTGACCTGTATATATAAGTCTATTTCAGAAACTGTTATAAATAGCATCTCTTATACTTTATCAAAGTAAGAAGTCACCACCAGTGAAGACCCTACAAATAGAAAGCCATAAAGAAAGGCTCTTTCCTTACCTTGTGGGTTATCCATTCTCGTCCATACTGATACACATTGTTAGCTGCAGAATTCAAGGCTCTTTGGACTACCTGAGCCTCAGGAAGCCAACTAATTTAAAACAAAGAAATAAAAATGAAAAAGTATACTTTTAGTATACTGTACCAACAATGCTCTGAACATGATGTACTTAAGCAATCAATAACAAATTATTGATCAGTTATCAATATACAAATACAAAAGCCTCATGAGCAGGAATCCTTGATTTTTTTGGGCCTAACAGGCCTAATTCTAACATTCAGGATGTCCCTTCAATCTTTCCTCAGTTTGTAGTCCCATTTTCCCCACAACTTCCCTTTCATTCCACTCTGCCTGGTTTCTCTGTCCAAACATGTCCTGGGTGATCTGTCTTACTCAGCACCAGGGAAAGTGGTTCTGGAACACTGGGATATTCAGCATCTAGGACAGGATTCTCAAAATATGCATCAAAACTGCACCAGCAGCATCAGAACTGCTTGAAAACCTGTTAGAAATGAAGATTCTAACAGAACTACTGAAAGAGGAACTCTGGGAGGGTGGGGTTCCCTGCAGGTGATTCCACTTTATAAGCCCTACAGGTGATTCTGATGCTGAAGTTTGAGAACCACTGATCTAAGGAAGTGAAGAACTAAGAAAGAACACAGAAAATTAAATAATTATCTCCAATTTCTTTCTATCCATTGAAGAACCTTTTCACATGGGAGGAACTCTTGAGCAGAGTTCTAGCTATGCAAGGAACTGTAGTCCACAAGCTTTACTCTGTGTAGAGAGAAGAGGCCTCCCCATTTTTCTGCATCATATACCTTAATCAAGATTCCTTTATACATGCCCAATGCTTTCAAAAACAGAAACTTTGCTAACATATTCTCTAAATTATTCCTCACAATGTTATGCACTAAAGATGTTGACATTCACAAACTTAAAAGTCCTGATTTCAGCTATTTATGAGTGATGCCAAAAGTCCAGGGCAAGAAGTAGCTAGTCATTTATTTTCCTGAGGCCCAAAAATGACACATCCTACAAAGCTGGCATACGAGAAACAGTCAGCTAATTAGGGTAAAGTCAAAGGTACAACATCCTCAACTCACAGCAGCTTTACGTGTTTGTGTATGTATGGGAGTAGGTATTGTGTATGTTGGGGAAGATAGTCATAAAGAGAAAGGTGACTGTAATCCTAGCTATTGAGGGGCTGAGATGACAGGATCACTTGAGCCCAGGAGTTTAAATCCAGTCTGGGTAACATAGTGAGATCCTGGAGAGAGAGAGAAAAGAGGAGAGAGAAGTGTGGCAGGTGGAAACAGGAGGGAAGGGAGCTAATTGCCATTGATAGCCACAAAAGTCATGTTGCCTAGGAAGCTGATGGTCTTTAACCAGAAGGAAAAAAAAGATATTTTGAATAAATTTAAAAGTGCAATGTCAAATCAGTAGTGGTTTTAATCTGTAAGTATTAATCAGTTTGTCCTACACTCGAAATAAAGGATTTGTGGAACTTTTTCGCTAATTCCTCAGTCTGTTCAAATAGTTCTCAGCAAGTAAGACAAAATTTTAGAGATGCTTACAAGCATATTAATTTTACAGCATAAGGATATGAATAGGAAACAGGAAATGTGATTTGGGAGAAACTTAAGTAGCTTTTAAATTACTCTAGTATTCAGTGGCTTGAAGGGATTGCAACTTTCCATTATATGGTACTATACTTTTATGGGGAAAATATCCTGCAGTGTAATTTAAAAGTGTGAGGAGTCACAGAAGTATCTGGATAAATCCTTAATGATTAACAAACATCTATTAGACCTGGGAAAAAGTCTTGCTGACCACTGTGGAAACACTTCACCTATGTACTCATGCAGGTATCCTAAGAGCAATAGATGAAGGGGGCTATTATGGGGACAAGTCAAAGGCATTGACTTAGTTCCAACCTCCCCACAGGAGGAGACAAGGAGCCAGAAACATTTGAGCAGTCTTAGTTGGGCTGAACTGGGATGTGCCTCTTTCACTACCATAGCTCCTGAACTGAGCTCCTTCTTTGGAGTCACTGCCTCAGCCAATCACTAACTTCCCTACTCAGTTGAGAGGGATCCTTCATCAAAAACCAAGTCCCTACGGTTTGGATTGGCCTAACCTCACCTTCCTGGGTCAAGGTTAATTTCTATCACCTACAACCTACCAAAAGAACAGCCTAGATTAAAACAACTTCATTTAGTCTACTGGGTTTCTCCCAAGTAAGGGTCAGCACCACTTTAGTGCCATCTCCTAATGAGGGTTCTGAGATGTATGAATCAACAGGCTTGAGACTCACCAGGAGAAAGTAAAAAATGGGTTCCCGGTGAACAGAATTGCCTAAGACAGGAACTAGGATGTGCTACAACTTCATCTTCATTTTTTTTTTGAAACTTTACTAGAATGATCCTATTCTTTCTAATTTATCCAACAGGCACATCCACTGGAAGTCAAGGTATTACATAGAGCATATAAAACATGCATCAAGTTGGAACAAAATAAATCTGACTTATTCTCTTTTTTTTTGAGTTGGAATCTCACCCTGTCCCCCAGGTTGAAGTACAGCAGCACAATTATGGCCACCGCAGTCTCGATCTGCTGGGCTCAGGTGATCCTTCCACCTCAGCCTTCCAAGTAGCTGGAACCACAGGCATGTGCCACCACACCCTGCTGATTTTTTTATTTATTGTAGAGATGAGGTCTCACCATATTGCTCAGGCTAGTCTTGAACCCCAAAGTGCTGGGATTACAGGTGTGAGCCACCGCGCCTAGCCCATCTGACTTATTCTTAACTGTATCTACTCCACTATGAGTATCCACATGAATTCCCCATAAGGCCAACTGCCTTTGGCATGACAGAATCCACTGAGTACCAAGATTTTCAGGAAACCATTACTATCACTTCATGCCCACTCTCACTGTTTCCAATTCCAATCCCACCAATCTGCTGCAAAAGAATCAAATCTTCCATGAATCACCAAAGTCTAAGCAGTTTCAAAAAAAAACCTTCCAAAATGGAGTATTAATCAGCAATAAAAAGGATGGGTTTCAAGGGGGTTATGCTAAGTGACAAAATCCAATCTCAATAGGCTGCATAAGCCATGGCTGAATTTATATGTCATTCTTGAAACAATATTTTGGATAAGGAGATCTGATTAGTGGTTGCCAAGGGTTAGGGATATGTTGAAGGAGGCAGTAGAAGGTAGATATGGCTATTAACGGGTGGCATGAGTGAGTCACAAGGTAGAACAGCTCTGTATTTTGAGTGTGTTGATAGATTATATGAAGCTACAGATGATAAAATTACACAGAACACACACACACACACACACACAGTGCATGTAAAACTAGTGAAATCTGAAAAAGGTCAATGTATTTCCTGATTTTATTGTATTATAGTTATGCTAGATGACAACACGGGAGGAGATGGAGTGAAGAGTACATGGCACCCCCCTGTACATGGTTATGCAATTCACTTTCAAACTCTAAAACAACAAACAAAAACAAAACACCTTTCTACAACCATCTAACCTGAGGCTACTCAGATTGTATGTGCCTTCAATACAGTAGCAGAGATAGTGCTGTTAAATTCAAAAGCAGGATGAAAGGACTTTGGACTTATTTCCACTACAAAAGAATGGTCACCAAAGAAAAGGAGCCCTTCTGATATTAAAGCTGAGACTGAGCCCTAGAAGAAAATACTTAGAAGAAGGTCTATCATCCCATGTAATGCTCTATCTACTTGCTTGCATACCAGATGAGTCCTTCCTAAAATCTAATATCCAGGACATGTTGGTTTCTCCTTTACCCCATTCTCACTTCAAAATGCATTATGTCCAAAGAGCTAGAGGGCAGAAGGACTCAATTCTTACTTCAGAGGTGTTTGGCCCTCAATTTTCCACATTCCCCACTCATCCCACTAAACTCACAGCATTTACACCCATACCCATCCTGAACTGCTTTCCTCAGTTGCTGTACTTGTGCCATGAATCTGATTCATGCTCCTTCCTCAGAGTAATGCACTAAGAATTATCCCTCTCTCCTAATATTTTCAACCCCTTCTACTATACCAGTTCTTTCCCTTCAGTATATAAAGAAGTCTCTCCATCTTAAAAAACAAAACAGAAGAAGACAACTTCCCTCCAACCCCCATCTATTTTTTTACAGGCAAACTTGAGAAAGAATAGTCCATACTTGCTTTCTTCACTTCCTCACTTCCTAATAATTGCTCAACACGCTGCAATCTAATTGGCTTCAGCTCTACCGATTAAATGCTCTTGCAGTTGCTAAATCTAATTTCATTCTTATTTTTTTCTGCAGGAATTTGACAACGCTGACCACTACTATTTTCTTAAAATGTTCTCTTCCCTTGGTTATACTCTTACTTGTCTTATAGCTCATTCTCATTCTCCTTCGCCAACCCAATATTTTCTGCTCACCTTCAAAGGCTGAAGATCCATAGGGTACACATCCAGGAATCCTTTCCATGAAATATATACATTATTTCTTTATGTTGAAGCTGCCCAAAACCCTAGTTCCAACTCAGACCTCTCATCTGATTCCTGGACTCACGCGACAACAGCCTACTTTTTTTTTTTTTTTTTTTAAGTTGGAGTCTCACTCTGTCATCCAGACTGGAGTGCAATGGCACGCTCACAGCCACCACAGCCTCTACCTGCTGGGCTCAGGTGATCCTTCCACCTCAGCCTTCCAAGTAGCTGGAACTGCAGGTGCGAGCTACCATGCCCAGCTAATTTTTTTTATTATTGTAGAGACAAGGTTTTGCCATGTTGCCCAGGCTGGTCTCAAACCCATGGGCTCAGGCAATCCTCTTGCCTCAGCCTCCTAGAGTGCTGGGATTATAGGCTTAAGCCACCACACCCGGCAGCCCACTTTTTAACTTCACCCTAGGTTTCTGTCCTGAACTGCATACCTACACAGATGACAGCTTACTGGATGCCACCCTATACATCTTACACAAACACCTCAAACTCCACACGTAAAAAAAGGGAAATATTTTCTCCCCCAGTCTATCTTGGTGAATCCACCATCATCCACTAATTTTCAAAGCTAGAAACATATGCATCATGCTAAATTATACCCAATCAGTCACCTACTAAACCCCTTATAATCACATGAATCTGTCCTTCCTCTTCATCCTCACTACAACTATCTACAACTCAGAGCTTTGTCACCTCTCAACTGGTTTACTCTAAATGCTTTTAACTCATCTCAATGACCCAAGTCTTGTATCCTTTTCATCTTTTCTCCACAAGGCAGTAGGAAAGACTGTTCTAGAATTAATCTGATGATTCTATTCCTCTTCTTACATCCTTAATCAAGACAATTAATATTATTGCTCCCAAAAATTTCCTTGCCCCTCTGTGTATGCCATCCTGGAGCCCCACGTCTCCCTGATCCACAGGCAATCACTAATCCTTCTGTCACTACAAATTAGTTTGAGCTTTACAGAAACAGAATCATACCATATGGTCTCTTCATTGCATAAATTTTTTCTCTCAGGATGCTTATTTTGAGATTCATCCATATTAGTGCATATATCACTAGCTCATTTTTGTTTAATGCTGTGCATTATTCCACTGCATAAATATACAACAATTTATATTTCAAAAGACATATACTTCTCTTAAGAATATTCAAGTTTCATTCTAAACCAAGCTCAAATTATGTCCTGAGCAAGTTTTGTATGAAGAAACAAAGCAGAGGCAAGAGAGAAAAATCAAGTTAAATCTCAACCTATAATCCTAAAAGTGGCAGATTATTTCCTAACTTAAATCAGTGAGATACCTTGACGTGAGTAAAAAATACATCAAAGCCTGAGCAACATAGAAAAACCTTGTCTCTACAAAAAATCAAAACACTATCTGAGTGTGGTGGTGCACACCTATAGTCCCAGCTACACACGAGGCTGACACAGGAGAATTACTTGAGCCGAGGAGCTGGAGACTGTGGTAAGATTTGAACATGTCACTGCATTCAAGCCTGGGCAACAGAGTGAGACCTTGACCAAAAAAAAAAAGAGAAAAAAAAGCAGGTCATGCAATTTGTTATCATGTTCCATTTGGTGCACAGCATAACTCTGCTGAACATACCCTAAATATAAAACCCTTCCTACAGAAGCTAAATTAAACAAGTACACAAAGAGATCCTTTAAGACAGAGGTTGGTAAACGTTTTCTGCAAACTGCCAGAGGGCAAATATTTTAGGCTTTGCAAACATATCCTTTCTGCCACAACTACTCAATTCTGCCTGCCCTTGCTACCCCAAAACGGCCAGAAACAATATATAAAACAATGGGCATAGGTGTGTTTCAGTAAAACTTTATTTACAAAAACAGGTGGCTAAATCTGGCCCTGGGCTATAATTTGCCCACTCCTCCACAAAAATAATATGGAATAATATGGAAATATGTAAAGAATTATAAAGCTGAGTGGAGTGACACATGCCTGTAGTCCTAGCTACACAGGAAGATCACTTGAGTCCAAGGACTAAGACTAGCCTGGGCAACATAGCAAGAACTTGATTCTTTAAAAAAAAAAAGTATATAGAACATCGGTGGATCAGCCTGTAATCCCGCACCTTTGGGAGGCTGAGGTAAGTGGATTGCCTGAGCCCATGGGTTCGAGACCCACCTGGACAATTTGGCGAGACCTCATCTCTACAATAAATCACTAAATAAGCCAGGCGTGGTAGCGCACGCCTGTAGTTCCAGCTACTTGGAAGGCTGAGGCGGAAGGATCGCCGGAGCCCAGCAGGTCGAGGCTGCAGTGGCCGGGAGCGGCCACTGCACTCCAGTCTGGGCGACAGAGTGAGACTCGAACTCAAAAAAAAAAAAAGAAAAGAAAAGAAAACTGAGATGTTACAGTGGAAAATTCTCTTCAGATGGTCAAAAGCAGTGGTTATAAGTGTTGATTCTGCTACTGAAGGATTATTATCTCAAATTCCTTAACCTTTGATCTTGTTTCCTTAACTGTGAAATGGGGATCTCTATCTCAAATAGTCACTGTAAGGAACAATGATACAAGATAGGTAAAAGTACTTTGTAAATTATAAACATGCTACAAACCATAAATCTCAAAACTTAAGGTATCATTTTCTATAAATTGTTCCTAAAATCTTAAGCACTTCTCTCTACCCCTGTTATTATATGTCATTCTTCGACAAAAATGATATTCATCAAAGCTTTGGCAAACCCTATCTTTTATCTTCCAATGTAGCTGAACCAATGAAGAGCATTTCATGCAAACAGATGCTAAAACTAGGTCATCCATCTCTGTTCTTTTCAAAACAATATTCTTACTTTGCCCACTCAGGGTGATTTGCTAGAGTTTCATTAATCAAATTACTTGTGACTTCAATCATGTGTACACTCTCTTGATGTACCTGCATTACAGATAAACAGAGAGAAGAATCTCAATAAAAAAATAAGCCAAATATAACATTTATTTTTCTATTCTATTATTGGAACAATGCTTTTAGAATCAAACAAATATACATCTAAGCTTTAATTAATTTAAAAACATGCACTGCAAAGTTGATATACATAATATCCTATGCACAATAAAAAGTTCATGACAGCTCCCTGCCTTTAAACTCAACAACTAGGCCGGGCTCGGTGGCTCAGCCTGTAATCCTACACCTTGGGAGGCCGAGGTGAGTGAATTGCCTGAGCCCGCGGGTTCAAGACCCACCTGGGCAACTTGGCGAGACCTCATCTCTACAATAAATCAAAAAATTAGCCGGGTGTGGTAGCGCGCGCCTGTAGTTCCAGCTACTTGGAAGGCTGAGGCGGAAGGATCGCCGGAGCCCAGCAGGTCGAGGCTGCGGTAGCCGGGAGCAACCACTGCACTCCAGTCTGGGTGAAAGAGTGAGACTCCAACTCAAAAATAATAATAATAAAAATAAGCTCAACAACTAAAAAAAAAACAAAACCTAACCAGATATGTGCAAATACTTAACACATGCACATAACTATATTTCATTTGCATATATATGTGTGTATATACATTGCGTATGGGTGTTTGTGTACCTATGTAAATAATATCAGCATTATGTGAGCTAACAGAATTATAATGTAGTGTAAGAGATACAGGCAATTAACCGACTGAGTTAAGGTTCTGAATAAAAAAGCAACAGAAACTACACCTCTGAATTTGCCATGCTCAATAACGAACAAAACGAGGGTGTTAAAAAAGAAACCAGTTGAAAATAAAATTTACCCAACACCTTCACAAGAAAAGAAGCATAATTTGATAAATGTGAAGCAAGTAAAAAAAAAACAAAACATCCTGAAGCACAACAAACAGGTATAACAGCTCACTCCTAAACTGACCCTCACACTCAGAGGTGAGTTCAAAAATTACTGAGATTCACAGGTAACATGGAGAAAAGCAGCCAAATCTCTATCCTTTTCTGACTGAGGAGGGAAAGCAACTGTAATGGGGGGGAGAAAAGAATAAATCAGAGAAAAGAGAGCAATAGTCCTCCACTCACCCTCTGTCTCTGTCCCTTTCTGCCGTGAAAGTTCCAGAGCATACAAGGAATTGAGGAAAACAATATAAAGATAAAAAGTATTTTCCCACAGGGATGGGTATAACCTTAACCAAGTGGCAAAATCACTAGCCAAAGTTACATATAAAATCCAGAATAGAATAGTCTAGGTATCCTAACAAAGACATACACAGCTGCCAAAGGAATCCACTTCTAATTCTGTAGGGTCCCAGAAGAGTAGGGAGAACACCAAAAACCAAAAAACAAACAAACAAAAAAACCCAGAACTGTAGCTTGAAAAGGAAAACAATCTGATTTCAGACACAATGGGGAGAAAATCAACTGAAATACAATGACAGAAAAAAAAGTCAGACTGAATAAAGCCTTACTAATTCTTGGGAAGAATTTGGCTTTCATTTTGTCGGATATGGGCTTTAAGCTTAGAGGTGACAAAATCTTAGATTTTTAAAGTAAATTCGGACGCTATGTTGAGAACAGATTAAATGAGGCAAAAGATGAAGCAGGGAAATCAGCTGGGAGAATACTGCAATAATCCAAGAGAGAACAAAGATAGCTCTGAGCAGGGCAAAAGTAGCAGTGAGGCAAGAAGCAACAGGATTCAAGATACATCTTCTGGCCGGGCTCGGTGGCTCAGCCTGTAATCCCATGCATTTGGGAGGCTGAGATGAGTGGATTGCCTGAGCCCGCGGGTTCGAGACCCACCCGGGCAGTGAGACCTCATCTCTACAATAAATCAAAAAAAAAAGATACATCTTCTGTTGACTGTTTCAAGTGAAACCAATTTTGCATGCCTGAAATAAACCTACATACTTATGGTATGTTATCTTCTTTACATATTTCATCTGCTAATGTTTTGTTAACGATTTCTGTGTCTGTTTCAAGGGAAACTAGTCTGCAGTTTCCTTTCCAATGAATGTCTTTGACTTTGGTATCTGGGCAATATTAGCATCATAAAATGAGTTGGAAAGTATTACTTCCTCTGCTATCTGAAAGAGGTATTAATTTCTTCATTAAACATTTAATAAACCTCATCAGTGAAACCATCTGGGCCTGAACTATAATTGAAAGACTTTCAAACACTAATTCAATTTCTTTCTTGATATAAGGCTATTCAGTTTTTCTATTTCTTCTTGAATCTGTTTTATTTATTCCTTATAAGAAATCTCTCCAGCCGGGTTCGGTGGCTCAGTCTGTAATCCTGCACTTTGGGAGGCTGAGGTGAGTGGATTGCCTGAGCCCGCGGGTTCGAGACCCGCCTGGGCAACTTGGCAAGACCTCATCTCTACAATAAATCAAAAACAAAAACAAAAATTAGCCGGGCATGGTAGCACACGCCTGTAGTTCCAGCTACTTGGAAGGCTGAGATGGAAGGATCGCTGGAGCCCAGCAGGTTGAGGCTGCAGTGGCCAGGAGAGGCCACTGCACTCCAGTCTGGACAACAGAGTGAGACTCCAACTCAAAAAAAAAAAAAGAAAAGAAATGTAAGTTATCAAACTTGGCATAAAGTTGTTCACAATATTCCTTTGTTATTCTTTTAAAATCTGTTAGATATGTAGAGATATCTCCTCTTTCATACTTGATATATTTGTATCTTCTTTCCTTTTTTTCTTAATCAGTATAACTAAAAAATTTTCAATTTTATTGACGTTTTTCTAAGGACCAGCTTTCGGTTTTATTAACATTTTTTCTTATTGCTTCTCCATTTCCACTTACACTGATCTGAACTTGATCTTATTTCCTTCCTTCCATTTACTTTGTATTTAATTTGCTCTTCTTTGCTAGCTTAAGAGGGAAGCTTAGATTGCTTCTTTTTTCTAATATAAGCATTTAATGCCATAAACTTCCCTCTAAGAACTGCTTTAGCTGCATCCCACAAATTTTGATAAGCACTGGTTTCATTTTCATCCACTTCAAAATGTCATAATTTCCCCTGCAATTTCTTCCCAGTCCACAGATTTAGAATTAGATGTATGTTGCTTAATTTCTTTTTATTTTATTTTATTTTTTGAGTTGGAGTCTCACTCTGTTGCCCAGACTGGAGTGCAGTGGCCGCTCCCGGCCACCGCAACCTCAACCTGCTGGGCTCCGGCGATCCTTCCGCCTCAGCCTTCCAAGTAGCTGGAACTACAGGCACGCGCTCCCACACCTGGCTAATTTTTTATTTATTGTAGAGATGAGGTCTCGCCAAGTTGTCCAAGCAGGTCTTGAACCCGCGGGCTCAGGCAATTCACTCACCTCAGCCTCCCAAAGTACAGGATTACAGGCTGAGCCACCGAGCCCGGCCCTATTTGTATGTTTTTGAATTGGAGTCTCACTCTGTCGCCCAGACTGGAGTGCAGTGGCACGCTCCCGGCCACCGCAGCCTCAACCTGCTGGGCTCCGGCGATCCTTCCGCCTCAGCCTTCCAAGTAGCTGGAATTACAGGTGCATACTACCACGTCCGGCTAATTTTTTTGATTTATTGTAGAGATGAGGTCTCACCAAGTTGCCCAGGTGGGTCTCGAACATGCGGGCTCAGGCAATTCACTCACCTTGGCCTTCCAAAGCGCGGGATTACAGGTTAAGCCACCGAGCCCGGCTGTTGCTTTATTCCTAAATATCCAGAGTATTTCTAGATTTCTTCTCATTTAATTCTGTTGTGTCAGAGAACATGCTCTACGTTTAATATCCTGGTGAGTGCTTCATGTCTACATGAAAAGGATGTAATTCCTAATTGTCAATAGATAATAGTGTTTTAAAAGGCTTCTAAATAACCTCACTGATTGTCTACTTATTTTCTCAATTATTCCAAGGACTACTGAATACTAACTATAATCATAGATTTGTCTTTTTCTCCTTTTAATTCTGAATGTCTGATTTCATGTATTATATTTTAGAGCTCTGTTTTTAGAAGCATTTACATTTGTAATTGTGGCATTTTCGTTTTGTTCTGAGTTAGAGTCTCACTTTGTAGCCTAGGCCGTAGTGCAGTGGCATGCTCATGGCTACCACTGCCTCGACCTGCTAGGCTCAAGTGATCCTTCTGCCTCAGTCTTCTAAGTAGCTGGAACTATAGGCACATGCGATCACACCCTGATAATTTTTTTGATTTATTGTAGAGACAAGGTCTCACCAAGTTGCCCAGGCCGGTCTCGAAACCCTGGGCTCAGGCAATCTTCTCACTACCAACTCCCAAAACGCTGGGATTACAGGCATGAGCCACCATGCCTGGCAGCAATATTAACTCTTATCCTTATGAAAAGTCCTTATTTGTCTCCAGTAATCTTTCCTTCCCTCCTCTTTTTTTTTAAAGAGACAAGATCTCACTCTGTCATCCAGGCTGAAGTGCAGTGGCACAATCATAGCTCACTGTAACCACTTCAAATTCCTGGACTCAAAAAATTCTCTCTGCCACCACATCCAGCTAATTTCTAAATTTTTCTGTAAAGGTAGGGTCTTGCTATGTTGCCCAGATTGGTCTCAAACTCCTGGTCTCAAGCTATCCTCCTGTATCCCAAAGCACTGGGACTATAGACATGAGTCACCATACTCAGCCTCTAGTAATATTTCTTTCTGAAAATGTATTTTGTGGCCGGGCTCAGTGGCTCAGCCTGTAATTCCAGCACTTTGGGAGGCCAAGGCAAGTGGACTGCCTGAGCCCACAGCTTTGAGACCCACCCAGGCAACTTGGCAAGACCTTATCTCTACAATAAAAATTAGCTGGGCATGGTAGCCCACACCTGTAGTTCCGGTTACTTGGAAGGCTGAGGTAGAAGGATCGCTGGAGCTCAGCAGGTTGAGGCTGTGGTGGCCAGTAGCATGCCACTGCCCTCCAGTCTGGGCAACAAAGTGAGACTCCAACTCAAAAAACAAACAAACAAAATGTATTTTGTCTGACATTAATATATAATCACTACACATATTTTCTATTTGTAGTTTGCACAATATATCATTTTAAATACTTCCCCAGTTGGCATCTCACTCTGTCACCCAGGTTGGAGTACTGTGGCACAATCACAGCTTACTTCAGCCTCCACCTTCTGTGATGAAGCAATCCGTCTACCTCGACCTACCAAGTACCTGGGACTATAGATGCGCACTACCACAACCAGCCAATTTTTAATTTTTTTTTTTGTAGAGATAAGGTCTCACTATGTTGCCTAAGCTGGTCTTGAACTCCCAGACTCAAGCAATTCTCCTACTTCGAACTCCCAAAGTGCTGGAATTACAGGTATGAGCCACTGCACCTAGTCAATTTCTGTCTTTTCATTGGCATGTTTAGCTGCTTCTCATGTAATATAAGTATGGGAATGATTGGATTTAGGCCTGTGATTTTGTCATTTGCTTTCTATTTGTCCCATCTCTATTGTTCCTTTGTTCCTCCTGTACTGCCTTCTTTTGTGTTCAGCAAATATTTTTAGTATACCATTTAGTTCCCTGAAACCTAAATGGTTGCTGTTTAACTTATCTAAAACTTATCACACATCTTAAAATGTATCACAATCTACTTCCAGTTAACACTGATCTATATTCAGTAAAAGAACTTCACACCACTACAGTTCCATTTCCCCCAACCCTCTTTTTTCTCTTATGGTTTTATATACAAATATACCTATGTATGTTATAAAGTCCACAATATAGTATTATAATTTTTCATTAGTCATATGTTGTTTAAATAAATTAAGAAGAGAAGGGAAAATATAACTTTTATATGTACTCACATATTTTCCAAGTGTCCTTCATTCCTTCCTTTGGATTCAAGTTATTTCTGGGGTCATTTCTCCTCATTCTGATGGAATTCCCTTAGTATTCCCTATAGTGAAGGTCTACTATCAATGAATTCTCTCAGTTTTTGTTTACCTAGAAATGTTTTGGGTTTTTTTGAGTTGGAGTCTTACTCTGTCACCCAGACTGGAGTGCAGTGGCCGCTCCCGGCGACCACAGCCTCGACCTGCTGGGCTCCAGCGATCCTTCCGCCTCAGCTTTCCAAGTAGCTGGAACTACAGGTGCGTGCTACCACACCTGGCTCATTTTTGATTTATTGTAAAGATGAGGTCTTGCCAAGTTGCCCAGGCAGGTCTCGAACCCACAGGCTCAGGGAATCTACTCACCTCAGCCTCCCAAAGGCGCGGGATAGAAATGTTTTTATTTTGTCCTTTTCTCTTGCTTCCTTCAAGGCTTTCTCTTGATCTTTAGCTTTCAACAGTTTGACTATAATGTGTCTAGGTATGGATTTGTGTTTGAGTATGTCTATTCTACTAAAGGTTTGTTGAGCTTCTTGGATCTCTTAATGTTTTTCACCAAATGTGAAAGTGTCTGACCATTATTTCCTCAAATTTTTCCTCTTTTCCTCTTCTCATCTTCTGGAATGCCAATTATGTGTCTGCTAGAATGTCTGATATTTTCCCACAGATCTCTGAGGCTCAGCTCATCTCCAATTAATTTGGAAATGATTTCTTAGCTATGTCACCAAAAACAAAGGCAGCAAAGGCAAAAATAGACAAATGAAACTACATCAAACCTAAACACATCTGTGCATGAAAGAAGACCTCCTTCAGGAAAAGCTACAGGTTTTTGCTGCCAAGCTAGGATAGTTCCAAACAGGAAAGCTACAAACTACCTGCTTCAACGAGCTATGGCAGCAGCTTTTCATTATCAAACACTCCCCAAGTTCTTGCCTAACTGGTTGTATTCCAATGCCTTTAACTGATATTTTTAATAATCTTATGCTGTTTTATTCTTGATTTTTGTGGAAAGGAATTATGTGACATCCTCACCATGATATTACTATAGAATATTAGTAAGGTGGAGCCAAAAAGGATTTTCTGACAAACTGGATCTGGACACAGAACAAAGAGAGTAGTCAAGGATGATCTGACGCTCTTTATCTGAGCAAGCAGAATAATGGAGTTGTCACTGAAAGACGATGAGAAGATCAGATAAGCAGAGAAGATCTGGAGTTTCGCTTACGCCATGTTACATTTGAGATGTCTTTAGACATTTTAGAGGATACCATCAAGAATATTTTGGAGAATGATACCTTTATTAACTGGGAGAATGAATTAGATAACCAATAAAATTCCCTCAAAAGCTCAGTTTGCATGAATCCTAGACCAATAATAAATGGTTCAGTAATACCTGTTACCAAAGTTCAAGAATCAAAAGCTCACTGAAGCATGGAATGAACAAAGTAAAAGGACTTAAAGATTGATATAGCCAGGTAAAAAGACCTTACGCAAAAGAATAAAGAAGAGAAAGAAGAGCAGGAGACAGGAGAAAGGAAAGGCATGCTGATGAGAGGTTTCTCTAAGAACTAGAATGCAAGATTGCACAGTGGCAGGGATTCAGGGTAAATATGACAAAAATAAAAGCCTCTAAACAAGTCTGTAGAGTACATGTGACTATACATAATTAATAGCTAAAGAATAGACAGAAACTACAGAGATTGATACAGAAGTACTAGGAAAGCAGGTTTTTAGAAGCAAAAGGTAAGACAAGTTTGAGGGTATAATGAGGCTGAGATTGAGAATAGGGCTTCCAAGTGGAGATATCACATAACAAGAAACAATGCAATTACTTAGCAAACTGCTATATATTAAATTATCAATAGTTACTAACATATCTCTACAGAACTGCAAGTATTAAAAAAAAACTTTTATATCCATGATTTCATGTAATCATCACATTTCCTTGAAAACAACATACCAAAATCTGGGATGCAGAGTTCAGATAAAATAAAAATTAAAATGTACTATAAAAGCAAATAAATAAATAAACGAGTATGACTTGACTAGCCTTAAAAAAAAAAAAAAACTAGTAAGAGACATCACTGTAGAGATAAAAATTTAGCTGTGCTTTGTGGAATGACTTTCTTTGAGGAGATAAAAAGGAGAAGAAGAAATGTAAGCTGGTGGGACCTGGAAAGCGAGAAATCAAGATCCTGCAATATGTCTGCAAAAAGAAAGACCAATGAGACAAAAAGGGAAGGAGTTAATCAAAAAATGCTGTTCTAGTGAACAGTACTAACTGGATTAGAAGTCATTAAGACCAGATTACAATTCTATTTTTTTTTTTTTTTAAAAGCCACTTGTTCCTCAGTATCTCATTTTTTCATCCGCATTTACTCCTGAGGATTTTGATGATAAAATAAAAACTCATATAAAAGACATTTGAAAAGAAATAAGCTAGGCAAATTCATGGCAAAATTAATAATATAAAAATCATAAATACTTCAGTTATACATATTTTTAAGACAAGTAACATTTTCCATGCCACGTCTACTAGTTTCTTAACCATATTATAACTCTAACAATTAAGAATTTATTAATGGTAATAGTAATTGATGCACCCTACCTTTGCAGTCAGGAGTAGGGCTAAAAGAAGGGTTCCTATAACTAACAAAAATATGATGAAAATGCTAATTATTTTATCTAGCATCTTCTCCAACCAGATGATCATCTGCACAAAAATGAAAAAGATAATTACTTATCTTTACAGTACAACTTAATAAAAACATCATGAAGACAAGACAGCATATTCAGCATTGCAAAGCAAACTATGGCATAACTATTAAAGCAATAAAAGCGGTAAGCAACTTTAGAAATTAACAGTATTAATTACTGCTGTTGTTATATAAAGTTTGTTATTGTCCTATTAAAAAAGACAGTTAATCTGAACATAATCTATATCCATGTTTGAATTCCCATACTGTGGTATATCTACATTTCAAATTATAATTTATAACCTGGTAAATATTTTAAACAAAATAATGACAGTCCATTAGGTAGCCTAAAATTTCATGAAACTGTACTGTCAATTAGTAAATAGATGACTTTAGCAATCTATAATACTTTATAATACAAGTATGACCTAAAATACACCAATAAAACAGGAGCAAACTGGGCAACCCCCTGGGGTCCCTTCTCGCTCTGGGAGCTTTTCTGTCCTCTCAATAAATTCTATTTGCTAAAAAAATTTAAAAAAAAAAAAACAAGAGCAAATTAAAATAGGAATTACATTCAAAATATTTTTCCCTTTGATATCATTAGAATTACAAAAGTAGCCAGGCATGGTGGTTCATGCCTGTAATCCCAGCACTTTGGGAGGCTGAGGTAAGAGGACTGCCTGAACCCACGGGTCGAAGACTAGCCTGGGCAACATGGCAAGACCTCACCTCTACAATAAATTTTTTTAAAAATTTAGCCAGGCATGGTAGTGAGCGCCTGTTTTTCCAGCTACTTGGAAGGTTGAAGTGGAAGGATAGCCTGAGCCCAGCAGGTCAAGGCTGCGGTGGCCATAAGCGTGCCACTGCACTCTAGCCTGAGTGACACAAGGAGATTCCTACTCAAAAAAAAGAAAAAAAAAAGAACTACAAAAGCAGTAATAAAAAAATCTAATGTTAAGTCAATGACAAATAACAAATTCAGAATACTAGTTATGCTAGTGGGGAAAGTTGAGAGGACGCTGCACAATCAGAGAGGGGTACAAAATGGGCTTCAATTATATAAGCAGTTCTATCAAGTTGGGGGAGATGTAGACAAATGGGTGTTCTTTAATTCATCTTACACTTTTATACTTGAAATATTTCATAATAAAATGTTGGATTTTTTTTTAAAGATGGGTCTTACTCTGTATCACCCAGACTAGAATACAATGGCACAATCATAGCTTACCACAACCTCAAACTGGGTTCAGGTGATCCCCTACCTCAGCCTCCCAAATGGCCAGGACTACAGGCAGCGCAAGTCACTACACTTTTTTTGTAGAGAAGGGGTCTCACTATGTTGCCCAGGCTTCTCTCGAAGTCCTAGCCTCAAGTGATCCTCCCACCTCGACCTCTCAAAGTGCTGGGATTGCAGGCATAAGCCACTGACTCTGGCCTCAATAAAATAGTTTTTAAAATCCAATATTCTACTGTAAGTTTCCACTCTTTCAAAAACATAAGCTTTATTATATAATTATAACTAAAAATGTAAAAACAATCAATTAATACATTTCTTAATCAATAATTAAAATTATGATCTCCCTAAATGCTGTATGACATTCTAACTTGACTAGCACTTTCCTGTCACAGTCACGAGTAACCTTACATTTTAAACAATTTGTTTTCAGAATATATAATTCTGATAGATTGCTAGAATTCCTGTCACATAAAGCTACCATTTAACATTTAAAAACTACATTAGGAGCAAGGTCATGAAAAGGGAGGTCTTGGGGTAGTGCCACCATTTTTTCCACCTTTGGCCTCTGCCCTTTCGCGGAGCTTGCAGCAGCGCCATGTGGGGGTCAGGGCACCTGGAGGTTCACAACCTCTGCAGTCCGCAGGAGCCACTACGAGGAGAGCCAGGGGAAAAATTTGCCATTTTCGGTGGAAAACAAGTGGCGGTTGCTAGTGATGATGACATTGTACTTTGGATCTGGGTGTTCTGCACCTTTCTTTATAGTAAGACACCAACTCCTTAAGAAGTAAAGATGTTTTAAGTTCATCCATTTAACAGATATGAAGAGCACTTTAAGAGGTGCAGTCTCCTTGAAAAATGAATCAAACTCTTGAACTCATGGCATATTGGATATGTTTGTAAATAAACTTACTACATTAAAAACTACTGAAACACCACACTGCACCCCTCAACTCCAACATGTTGCTAAATAAGTTACTCTTAATTTAAATCTGAATTATGCTCTTCAAACATTGAATTAAACACCCAAGAAACCAGCTTAACTTCTAAAACATTTTCCATTCAACGTTTATAAGCTTGTACTCCCTTATCTGTTTTTCATGAACACCATCACTAAGAGATAAATGCTATATAGTAAACTCAAAGATAAAAAGTTAATTTTTAATCTTGACTATTACAGCTTCAAACAGAAGAGTTAATTTTCAAAGCATGCTACCAAAGCATATAGAAGACAATGCAGAGATTAAAAAAAGGAGTAACAGGTGTCTAAGATATGGAAGGTCAGATGTCATATTTTGAAGGCAAGTTCTAAAATCAACGAAACTAAAAAGCTTCAAAATCAGAACCAAGTGAACATCTAGTTCTCGAGATAGCATCCTGGGAAGACTTAGTGTTATATCATTCCTTTTGTATCTGCAAACTCTGATAATACATAGTATTGGTAAGTATATATTTGAATAAACAAGCATAAGTTATTTCACAATGAAGACTAGATTTGTATTCACAAGTTACAATTTCTGAAAATAACATAGGAGCCTCTATTTTTTTTAAGAAAAGTCATATTCTGAAGTATATTTTAAAATGTAAATGATGTTCTACTTAGAAACTTATATCCCAGTATTTTTAACATATAAAACAAAGAATATTCAAAAACATTATGTATACCAAACATTACAAAATCAAACTTTTTCTTTTTAAGCTAGGGTAAAATTTCCCTACCACAAAACATAAGGGTTGAAAAAAATTCACACTAAGAGTCACCTAAATAAAAATATTTATCCAAAGGATAACAGTAAGGGTTAGATATTTCATTTAAAATACAAATGTTTAAGATGCTCAATACAGAAGCTAAGAATTTTTTTATTCCCATGTGGCCAGATAAGTTAAGCTGAGAACAGGGCAAGAAGGGAGACAGTAAGAGATAGAAAAGAGTGGGGAAGAGACACACAGAAAAGCTTATTAAAGAATAAAGGCAAACAGAAAAGGTCAAGAGAAAAAGGGAAAAAAATGCAGGTAGTGGGAGATGGTGTATAAAACTAAGAACCAATAGATAAGAAAAAACAAAGAGGATAGAAAACATAGAAAAAGAAAAAGAAGAGCCAACCCCCTGAAAAAGTTAAATGGAACAAGACTCACAAAGAAACAGAAACTCACAGAGATAGGAAGAGAAGCGTGGGCAGAGGAAGCAATGGAGAAGGGGATCAAATGCCAGAGGTGCTGTCCCACAAGGCTGATCCTGTCCCATGCTCAGTTTTGGGCAAAGGAAACCAAACCATCTGCCCTCACTTGGAAACTGCACGAAGTCTCTAGTAATTTCCCCTGTCTTCACATGCTATGAGAAGTGTTACTTTTACTTTTAAAGTTCATTTTTCAAGAGGAGAGGAGAAGAATTTTTAAATGACATTTTGAATGTTTCAAGGTGAATGAAAGGCATGTATTTTTTAATTTAGAGATGTCAGTAAATTTGTAGTTATATCAAAAGACACTCTAAAACTTCTACTCTAACTGACTTTATTTATCAAGCTATTGAAGTATCATTATCCTACTGAGATTTTCTTCTATTTCACTAGTCTGGGCCTATAGGTTTTTGTTTTGCTTTGTTGGGTTTTTTTTTTTTTTTTAATGAATTCTAGTTCAGTCTTAGTGCAAATAATCAGTACTAGGAAATAAAACAATTAACCCTGAGAAACAGAGGTTACATTTCAGAGGTTATACATAAGATATGTGCTTTCTCATCCTCTCTTCTCCTTTCAGTTTTCTAATTCACTCCCCACTTGAATTTTTACATATCAAAATTACTCAATGCTACAATTTTCTGACCATAGAGTAATATAATTAAATACTTCTCAACTTATTTATATGTTTTCCTGGAACACATATACTCAGAATTCCAAGCAGTCACTCTAACTTTATACCAATGCTTTATGCACATGGAATCAACAAAGAAAATAAAAATCTTTTAAAATTATCTTACCTATTTAGCTATGAATTAGGTAATCTAACTAATTTAATTTATTAAAGGTTAAATCTAATTAAGCCTAATGAATTTAGCTCTCCTTTCTTCCATCTCTTAAGGACAATTTCATTTCAATATAACACAAGTTGTGGAAACATACAAAACCACCTACTTTTATCAAAATATGAAAATGTAATTTTCGTTTTCACATCATTTGTCAAGGATTGAAGTTATTTATCCATACTAGTTTTATAGGGAACAGAGATACATACAACCATGTGGTGGTGGAGGGACGTTTATTTTATACATCAGTTGTCTTCAATTCCAAGCTTAAAAGTTTCAGCACTGTCAAGTCATCCCTTTCCTCTACTTCAACAGAAAAATATGAAATCCTAATCTCACACTGAAAGGTCTCATTTTGAGCTATTTTCAATAATTAGCACATGTTTCTTAAACCCTGCTATATTTCCAATGAGACTTTTAGTATTATTATGTTTAAACAGGTACATATAAATGATGTCATTTCTTGCTATCTGTCCTAGGGATTTATTAAAATTAATTTAAACACTATCATATGTGAGCTATACATCACAAGTACAATACTCCTACTATATCTACATTAATCCTTATTGTAATTATTAAAAGTTAAAAATCAAATCTGGAAATACTAGTCATTTTAAAAAGGCAGTATGGAAAATTATCAGTCAAGGGAGTCATACAAATATTTCGGGGATTAAATATTTTAAAATTCAAAATAATTTTTTTTAATTCCTGTCATTTTTAGAAAAAGTAGCAAATACAGTTCTTGCCTTTACAATAACCACTGCCTAATGTGTTTTCATGAATCAAAGACTAGAATACCAGGCTGAGCCACAATATAGAACTGAAAATGAATCACTTACAGTGGACAAAAGGACTGAGACAGAACTTCTTATAAACACTTGAGCAAAGAGATACTCCATATTCTAAATAGTCTTTATTGAATTTTTAGCAAATTGTACTATGATAGTACTGTTTCATGACCTTCCATAGCTTATAATTAGAACTTAGAAAACAAAAACTTAATTTGACATATGAACAAAAACATAGAATAAGAAAGGCGATACGGAGGTTGAGGGTGGAGATGTTACAGAATTCAATAGTAAAAACCAACGTCTGGGTATTCATTTACCTTCTTATTTAGCCAGTGCCAGAGCTTGAGGATAGGGGGTAAGGTGAGAAAGAGAAGATAAGAACAGCGGAATATCATTAAGAATGCAATAATAGTATGAAAAGAAAAGAAAAGAAAAGGAAAATCACTGGGAGCAGGAGAAGGAAATTGTCCCAGATAAAGGATAAACCAGGGGGAGAAACTGTAACACATCAACAAGGCTTTAAAATCAAGATAATGTAGTATTCCTTTAAGACAAACAATGATTGAAATGGTGATAACCACAGCTTAGTTGGGAATCCAACAACTAAAAATACATCAAATAACCTGAAGGCTTGCAGGCTCAGTGCCTCTCTGCCTTTGCAGTGACTGCTCCATCTGCCTGCGCTTCTTGCTGTGTCTATCTAATAAACTCCTGCTTGTGATTCAAAATTTGTTCCGGCATCACTTCCTCTGCAAAACCTTTCCTTTCCTACTGCCTCATCAACAGTTAGTCATCTCTTGCTCAATACTACCACCGCACCCTGTACACACTTCTCCTACACAAATTATAACAGCTAGTACTTATATAAGGCTTATTGTGTACCTGGCACAGATCTAGAGGTTTTAATTACCTTAATCCATTAAGCCCTTATACCCCTTCTATTAGGTAGGTACTATTATACCCTTTCTATTGAGAGAGAAACCAAGGCACAGAAAGATTAAGAAATTTGTCCAAAGTCACATGGCTAGTAAGCAGCAGAACTGAAATCTGAAACCAGAGTACAGATTCAGAGCCTATGCTCTTTAACCACTAAGCCTCTGAACTTAACCATCATCTCTGAATTTTTGTGAACTGCTCTCTCCCATTAAACAGAGCTTCTATATCTAGTTTTCCATAATTAATCTGATTTTTCCCTAGGACTTAGCACAGTATCTGACACAAGGGAATTGCTCCAAAAATATTCACTAAACTAAGCTACTACCTAGTTATATAATTTTAGGCAAGTCACTTAATCTCTCTGAATTTCAATTTGATCCCAATAAATTGAGAGTTGAACTATATGTTCCACAAGATCCTTTTCTTTTTTTTTTTCCTTTTATTTATTTTCTTATTTTTTGTAGAAACAGGTATCTTACTGTGCTGTCCAGGCTGATCTTGAACCTCTGGCCTCAAGGGACTCTCCCACCTCAGTCTGTGATTATAGGCATAAGCCACCGTGTCTGGCCCTTTCTCATATTTTTAAGAGGTAAAATACTTATATGATACATATTCAAACTAAACCTATCCTATTCTTATGGTAAACCATAATTCTACACATTAAAATTCCATCATAGAATTAGATATTAAATGTGTCATCAACCATTATAATACAAACACCACACCATAGAATGGAAGACTTCAAGTCATGAAATAAGACAGCACAAGCTCTCAAAATACAATACCTTGCTATCAACTTTCAACAAGAATTTTCCGAGCCCGACAATTGGCCATGGTGCAAGAGCTCCCTGCCGCTCTTTCAGGAAGCTTTCTATAACCCCCCACCACAGGTGGTAGCGTTTTGCCAGGAAGTCCACAACTCCAAAGTGAATGACAAGCTTTTTGAGTATCCAAACTAAAAAGAAGATTAAAAAAGATACATATATAAACAAAATATAGATTAGAAAGTTATAAAATGAGATGGTCTCCTGATTTCACATGACCTTTCTAAAACAGCAAAACCAGCATGAAAATAAAGATCAATGTTAAAAGAGGGGTGGGACTCAGGATATTCCAAACAGATGCAATTGGGCCAAGTAACTTTTCACACAATCTCCACCTGCCTATATATTGTCTTCTTTGTGAAGTCTGAATCTCTGAAGGAGTCAGGGATTATTTTACAGCCCACATAACCATAAGATACTCTTATCATAAAGATCTCAATGACTACAATCTTGGCCCCTTGGACCTTACCCCTTCCTGATTAAAGAATACAAACCCCTGATATTTCCTCATCTCCTTGACTTTTACAGCTGCTCTTGACAAATTTTGTTCTTTTCTTTAGATATTTGTTGTTCAATGACCAGAAAAGTATAAGGTATACAATACGTATCATGAATTTTATGCCAGCACAGGGTAACGTTTTCATTTGTGTTCCTATTTCCCCATTTGATGCTGCTTTGAACATCTAAGCAGGTGCCAGAGTTCAGTAGAGAAGCAAGCTGAGTACAAGCAGGGATACCATAAATGTTCCAAGACTGTGCACTGTACACAACTTCAGTGGGGACCATTCAGGGGTCACAAAAGGAATGTCTCCTACAGGAGGTGGGGCAGTGCAATGAACCTTCAAGCAGGGGTTAAGCTTTTTATTAAAAGCCAACAAAGAATGAAGCAGAGTCAGAAAGAAGTGTTGCTAATCTGTGAGGCCTGCCTTGAAATCTGGAACCTGAATCCCAAACTGTATAATGTCCCTAACTCCAGGGATTTGTATTCTTAGCCCTGACCTTATAACCTAAAGGTTCACAGTTTACTATTTTGAACCATGACCCTGTGTTATACACCAGTTCAAAAACTCCTTCATTAGCAATTTTAAATTCCTACTAAGTCCCACGAAAGCTCCTATAGTTTCTAGAATAAGTCCAGGGTAATTACATGCTGTGTCAAAATCCTATGATGACCAAAAGATTAACGTAAGAGTAGGAGAAATTACAAACTTTAAGGAAAAGGAAGTTCCAACAGCACTTGACACATGAATTGCCAGCATAATGAAATCATCCTGCAAAACCAAAGTATAGAACAGTCTGGATGAGTAATTTCACTAAGCATTTCCATAAATTCCTAACAGAAAGCATGGCTGTGGTATGTGCTCTCTGATTTGCAAACGTCAATCATTTATAATGTATGCTTCCTGAGGACAGGCACCACACAGTGTTCTGTTCATAATAAATGTTAAAAATAATGGCTATCAATTAATCACCTAATTTAATGAGAAAAAATAAGAGATGAAAACTAATAATCTAGATGGTAAATGGGCCAATAAATTTAGATTTTTAGACAATGGTGGCAAACAAGAGTTCTAAAAATCAGATTATATTTTAATCAACTGTAAAAAACCATGAGGAAGGAAACCAGGACTAACCTGGATTGCAGAGTTCACAGCATCCATTAAGGACTTAATAAATTTGTCATAAAATATGACTGCAATAAAAGGAAAGCCCACATAATCAGGAAAGTATCAAATAAGTCAGAGAAATCTCTTCCTTAACGCTTTCCAGTCTTAGAAGACAGCTTTAGAGAGAATCAAAACAATAGAAATGGGCTTTAAATTACCATAGTATTAAGGCACAAAGACCTGACTTAATGAATTACGGAAAAACATATGGTTCCTTTTGGTTTTTGAGTTTTTGTTTTTTTGAGACAGGGTCTCACTCTGTCATCCAGGTTGGAGTGCAGTGGCACGATCATGGTTCATCCCAGTGTCAACTCCTGGACTCAGATGATTCTTCTGCCTCAGGCTCTCGAGTAGCTGAGACTACTACACCCAGCTAATTTTTTTTTTTCGAGTTGGAGTCTCACTCTGTGTTGCCCAGGCACGCTTAGGGCCACTGCAGCCTCGACCTGCTGAGCTCAGGAGATCCTTCCACCTCAGCCTTCCAAGTTGCAGGAACTACATGTGCACGCCACCACACCCGGCTAATTTTTTTATTCATTGCAGAGACAAGGTCTCACTAAGTTGCCCAGGCTGGTCTTAAACCCCTGAACTCAGGCAATCCTCTCGTCTGGGCCTCCCAAAGAACTGGGATTATTGACTTGAGCCACCACGCCTAGTCAAATTTTTAAATATTTTTTGTAGAGATGAGATCTCGCTATGTTACCTAAGCTGGCCTTGAACTCCTGAGCTCAAATGGTCCTCCTGTCTCAGCATCCCAAAATGCTGGGATTACAGTCATGAGCCACCATGCCTGGCCCATATGATCTCATTTTGATGTAATACATAGTACATACACATACACATACACACACGTGTGCACATACACAATTCAATTTTTCTTCTAAACAAAACTAAAGATTTTGCATACACATATTTCTTAAAGTCTACATTTCCCTTGAATTAAAAATGCAATGTAAGCCAGGCGCAGTGGCTCAGCCTGTAAATCCCGCACCTTGGGAGGCTGAGGTGAGTGGACTGCCTGAGCCCGCAGGTTCGAGACCCGCCTGGGCAACTTGGGACCTCATCTCTACAATAAATCAAAAATCAGCCAGGCGTGGTAGCATGCACCTGTAGTTCTAGCTACTTGGAAGGCTGAGGCGGAAGGATCGCCGGAGCCCAGCAGGTCGAGGCTGCGGTGGCCGGGAAAGGCCACTGCACTCCAGTCTGGGCGACAGAGTGAGACTCCAACTCAAAAAAAAAAAAAAAAATGCAACGTAAAATGTGCTTCCTAAGAGCAGCTCTCAAAATTCAATTGTAAGCACCCAAATGCAGAGGGTTGTTACCATTATCCTCCACAGAATCATGGACAGCTAAACAGTTAAATCTCTATGTGGAGCTATCAACCTCAAATACCCCATGAAATTATAAGAGGTTAAATACACTTTGGAGCTTAAAAGTGAAATATTAAAGTGTCAAAGTAATAAATTTCCAAAATGGTGTTTGTTCACTCTGTACTTATTTTTTTAATTTTTTAGAGACGGGCTCTCACTTTGTCACCCTGGCTAAAGTGCAGTGGCAAAATCATAGCTCACTGCAGCTTCAAACTCCTGGTTTCAAGTGATCCTTCTACCTTAGTCTCCCAAGTAGCTGGGACTAAGGGCACACACCACCACACTTCACTAACTGTTTTAAAAATTTTTCAGGGTAAAGACAAGGTATCTTTATGTTGCTCAGAGTAGTCTCAATCTCCTGGTCTCATGTGATCCCTTTGCCTTGGCCTCCCAAAGCACTGGGATTATAGGCATGAGCCACTGCACCCAGCTTGTTCACTATTTAAATGCAAACATAAGACTTTTATTTAAAGACAGTACAATTATTTCAAATATTTAAATCTGACAGTAAAAAAAAAAAAAAAAGAAAAACAAAATCTTCAAAGGCAAGATCATAATTAACCAAGTAATGACCTGCAATAGGCACTGGCAGCAACTGCACAATCCACAGGTTCAACCAGAGCTGCACAACAATGATGGCCCAAACGAGAGACACAAAGTAGATATCACTAGTTTTCTTCTTTCTAAGAAATGTTGCAATCTCAGGCCTTTGTCTGCCCAAAGTAGGTGAAGGGGAGGAGGGTGAAGGGGAGGAAGACAATGTTGGAGGGGATTCTCCCCTGTCCATTGTTTCTGAAGAGGGAAAGAAAAAACACCGTATTAGTCCATGTGAGTAACACAGAGCAATTCATTAGGCTAGCCTAATTTAAGTCTTCAAACTGTACTCTGATGTGGTATGATTACACTGGGTTAAAAATACAAAAAGATTTGTATGTGTGTTCAGTATGCACTGAAACACGTATGAGAATTACAATGCTGACAGTGCTTGAATCTAGGGAGATTAAAGAGGGTAAGACTGGGAGACAGTGAATACTTTACTTTTTACATTTTATACTGTTTAAGACTTTTATAACTAGGATATACATACCATTAAAACAAAAAAAAAAGACAAAGTAGCTGAGAATTATACTTATCCATTAAAATTATTCAAACAATATGAAGAAATAAATACTAACATACAATAGAATGCATATAAAATTTAAAACGTCCTCTTTTAATAGAACTTTAGATGTATTTATATATATTTCTGACACAATAAGGCATTTCTGACACAACAAGAACACAGGACTTTCAAACATGTCTTTTTCTTTGAATGAGATATAAAAACAATGACAGATTGCTGAGGTGAGGAATTTTCAAATAAAGGAAACCATACTAGATTATTTCGCATAAGGTACTGTTTTCTAACAATGCAACCACTATGTTATATTTTACTATAGGTTCTATTATTTCTACTTCCTATTTTTAACAAACACACCATATTCATCAAAAATCATATAACGCTAGTCCGGGCATGGCAGCTCACGTCTATAATCCCAGCACTTTGGGAGGTGGAAGCAACAGGATTGCCTGAGCCCAAGGGTTCGAGATCAGCCTGAGCAACTTGGTGAGACCTTGTCTCTACAATAAATCAACAAAGTTAGCTGACCATGGTGGCACAAGTCTGGAGTTCCAACTACTTAGAAGGCTGAGGCAGAAGGATCATCTGAGCCCGGAAGGCTGAGACTGTGGGAGCCGTGATCATGCCACTGTATTCCAGCCCAGGCAACAAAGTGAGACTCCAACTCAAGAAAAAAAAAAGAAATCACATACCCTTAATGCTATATCACTCTATATACACCGTGATGATAGAAGTTATTAATATCCTAAAACCTGCATTTGACTGCCATTAAAAACAAGTTAATTACCAAAGTATGTCGTATTCTATAAAGTCTAAAAAAAAGAGAAGAAACAAGAACATCCATAATCCCAATCTCATATTTGCCCTGTGTTGCTTTACAGTTTCACACAGTTGTACCATGTTCTACTAATCCCTTCTCATGCTCTCCCTTCAGATGAATGTCAGCTCCACCACAGCTAAGCCCCATCTGTCATCCTCTTCCTCAACTGAATTCCTAGCACATAGGATAGTATCTGACATATACCAGGTGTTCACCAAAATTTTGTTGAATAAATTACTTTCCTGTTATTTCACAATTTACATAAGTTATAACTTTCACATAGTAGCTCACTGAGTGCTACATCATAAATTCCTTATTTTTAATATTAACTATTCAGCTGTGAGTAAATTTTTACTTCTGAGATCACTTGCACCATGAGAAGTCAGTTCAGCTCACCAAGATTAACTTTCTACCCTCATGTTCGGTACTAAAGCCCAAGATAGTTGTAATACACTTTTGTTTGACTTTGCTACATGACTCTTTCTAATTTGGAAATTTCATGTTGGTAGGTTGTGGCAGATATTTGTAAGAATAAGTCCATAACCAAAACATCATCCCCTCTCCTGAAAAAATAATTCAATGCACAAGAAAAATATGTGTTCCTACTACTCCAAATGCCTTTCCCCTAGCTGATCCTTTCCTTCCAGACATTTCTAAAGTCAGTTCCTTAAGAAGAACTTGCTATAAATACTTTCTAACTCCAAATACCTTTGGCACTCATAGACCGCTACGTACAGACTGAGATGGCCTTTCACATTCCTGAACTCGGAGAGAGTACAGCACAACTCTACAGTTAATATACCACTACCAGCAGGATCTTGAAGGAGCCTGCAACTCCAGAAGTTGGGTCACACAGAATAATGAATCCAAATCAACCAGAGGGGTCTGTTTTAGGGGAAATGGTCACTGTAACAGCATGATACATAAAATCAAACTCTGAGAGAAAGAACGCCAGAGAAATGGATGAGAAGACGGGAAATAAAGTTCCCAAGAAAAAGATCTGGGGAAAGAAAACAAAAGAAAAACAACAAGAAAAGACAGAGGAAAACAAAATAATCGAGGAGAACTGACATGTGTAGAAGAAAAAAATGGAAACTAGAAAGCAAGATAAGGAAAGCATAAAGTAGGGGAAATATGGAAAAGAAAAATATGAAAAAAAAGTGAGAAAGAACAAAAAAATAAGAAAAGCATTTTTTAACCAAAAAGAAGGAAAGATTGAAGAACCAAGATAAACTCAAAATGGAATAATTCAATGTAAAAAAAGTGATATCTGAGAACAAAGATGGAAGGGAAGGGTTGTAAAAATAAGAATCAGAGAGAAAAAATGAAGGACCACAAGAGTAAGTAGCATTTTGCAATGCTAGCATTCTTAATTCTACATTCTGTTCTATTTCATTTTCCAGAACAGCTTTGAATGGCATCATAACGTCAGTCACCTGCAGGTCGAGTTGAGGGCTGGTCTTCACTGCTTGATTCATACCCTGTGATAGAGATGGCCAAGTTTGCTAGAGTAGAAGCTGCCATAGAAATAACTTGCCCTGGTAACTCTGCCCCTGTAAAAGAAGCATGCATTTTTAAAACTTTTGAAAGCAACTGAACAAAGCAGGAAATAACTGTTGCAAATTTGAATACAGCTCAAAGTTTTCAACAGCAATAAAATAAATGGTTATTATTGATATACTGAACCAGTGGTTCTTTGCCAGAATGCTTAAGAATCAACAGGAAAGTTTGCTAAAACTGCAAGTCCCTGAATTCTGTAATCTACCTCTTCTGGAAACTTCATGCTGGTGGGTGTGATGGATAGTACATATATAATTTAGAGTGCTATGCATATTTTTTTAATATTACAAGTTGATTTTAATGCATACTTCTATTTAAAAAAAACACTGCCGCATTAAGTCTGTAAGCTCCCTGATCAGACTTAGGCTACTTTGTATTAGGCCCCAGTACAGTATGGGGCAGCCCACACTTGGTGTTCTCAACAGCATTCTGCAAATAAATATGCAAATATATGGGTATTACACAAAAGCATATAGATCTATAAAGTATATAATTCAGCACAGGCAAAATTCACCACTTGAAAATCTAAAGGAACATCATGACCTCATTTCATATTATTTGTTCCTATGTTAAGTTCCTAGTATACCAAGCTTGATCATTTGTACTAGAGTCAAATAAAACATTTACTGGCAAATGAGGTCTGGAAGAGTCAGTCTTTAACCTGCTACAGCAGACAAAGCAGACTAGCTCACACAACATCAAGTTCTAACACACTTTCTTGCATACTGGACTAGATAGCTGAAGACTGTATGTCTTGGACTCCCTTGCAGCTAAAGCCCCACATATAATGTAGTTTCTACAAAGCAGAAATACCTGTGCAAGACTTGAAAAACTGAAGTGGTACACTGTAATTTGGAAGCTACACAGCTCTCATATCAGTCACAAAGGTATATGCTTTTTCTGTATCAACTTAGAAGTTCCAGAGGTTCTGATATCTGATCTCTAACATCAGGGCAGGTGATAGCAGCCATGGTCTTCTGCCCAAACAGTCCTTTGTTATCACTGAGCATTTCTCCTGGATGCATAGCTACTGCCTGTGTCATAAGCTACCTGCAACAAGCTTACTTGTCTGGCCATTCCAAAAATTTTACGTGCAAAAATTCTAAATGCTAACAAATACTACTTCTTATTTAAACTAGCCAGAGTGGATTCTACTGTCCACAACTAAGAACACTGGCCGATCCTAGTCACCAAATCATACACCCACACTCACACAGCTGGCCCTACTTTTGATTTGCCAACACTCACTGTAACAACATAGAATTCTGCCAAGCCAATGAAAAGAGCCATGACCTCTCAGAAGGCTAATGGATTTCAGCTCCAAATTAACTCCATATAAACAACAAATCCAAGGCTGACCATCTCTCAGAAAGAAGTAAGTCGGAGCCTAGGATGGCTCACCGGTAGATTCAGCCATGAGTATCAATCGTATTCACCTTGCTCAATCATACCCTAACCCTCCTCTAATAAATGCCCCTGTTACCTCAAAGAGTTTATTTTTAGATATAAAATCTTTCTCAATATTAGTGAAATCCAAACTCATGTTCTGAAAAGAAAGCACAGGTTAGATATCTGTATTGGAACCTTATTCTCCTGGTCTATGTATCTAAGGGCTTCTGAGATGCCAATTAAAGAACAAGGGCTGAGAAAAAGACAGCGTCTTTCATGTCTTACATGTATTATGTGCTGGGGATAAAGACAGACCCTGCCCCCATGGAATCTTGTAACAGAAACCAGATATGAATTTTAAAACCACACAAATAAGTGCATGTATACAAATTATAAATGCTATAAAGGAAAAATCCTGAGTATTGTGTGAGCTCCTAACAAGAGAAATCTGACTTAGTCTGGAGAATCAAGAAGGATTGCTCTTAAAAACTGAAAACAAGAGTTGATATATGAAGGATAAGAAGGAATTAACCAGGGGAACATAAATAATAACATTCTGGGCTATGTGCAGTGGCTCACATCTGTAATCTCAGCACTTTGGGAGGCTAAGGCAGAAGGATCATTTGAGGTCAGGAGTTTGAGACCAGCCTGGACAACATAGCGAGACTCAGAAAAAAAAAAAAAAATTAGCTGGATATAGTAGTGCACCTGTATTCCCAGCTATACAGGAGGCTGACACAGGAGTGTCACTTGAGTCTGGGAGTTGGAGGCTGCAGTGACCTATGTTGGTGCCACTGCACTCCAGTTTGGGCAAAAGAGTAAGACCCTAAATCAGGAAAAAAAAAAAATTCTGGACAGAAGGAAGTGAGAAGGCAGGCTGTGAGAAGAACCTGGCATGCTAAAGACAGTGAGAAAAGGTCAGTGTGCCTGGAACAAAGACAGTTAGTAAGAAACTAGTATCAAATAAACAAGGCTGGAGAGGTAAGTCAGATGACCATATTAAGGACTTTAATCTTTACCCTAAGAGCAGTAGGAAAGCACTGAAGAGTTTTTAATAGGATAGTAATCTTTTTTTTAACTGAAAATGTACATTCATATGCAGTTGTAAGAAATAATCCTTTTACCCAGTTTTCCCCCAATGGTAACATTTGCAAAACTAGTACAATATCACAATAAGAATATAAGCACAGGTACAAGATACAAAACAGTTTCATCACTACAAGGATCCCTCATGCTGACCTTTTATAGCCATACTCCCCCATCTCTCTAGTCTGTAAATAAATGATTTATTTTGAGATATAGAAAGATCATTTTTGTTTGTTTGGAGAACAGACTAGAGGGGATTAACAGTGGTTACAGAGAAATAAGTTATTGCAGCACTACAGGCAAGACATAATGACAATGTGGTCTACAGTGGTATCAGGGGAGACAGAGGAAAGTGGCTAGATTCAAGAGACATGGAGGAGTCAAAGTCGACCATACTTGGTGATGAACCGATAAGTGGAATCAAAGAAACAAAGGTGTCCAAGTTTCCAGATTATGGTTAGATAAAGGACATATAGGGGACTGGATGAAAATCCTAGACAAATTACATTCTTTGAGACTTCCAGATAGAAGTTTTACAACCTAAGGGACTACAGCAGCAACAGTACAGGACTTAGCTTCAAAGAAATATACCCGGGAGAGATCTCTTAGGCCCCATTCAATAGCAAAGTCTGGGACACCTAATAGCCTGGGACATTAAGGTAGAAAAAGAAAAGAAAACAAAAACACCTTCAGATCCAATTTCATATAAGATTTTATATTGGATTAAAGACTAGTCAAGGGTTCTGAATTACTAAACTGACTTCTTCCCAAGTAATTTAATTAAGTAGTGACTCATTTCTGAGATACTGTGAAAAGTCCCTTAACAGTTTTTTTGGTTTTTTGCTTTTTCTTGGGTCAGGGGTCTCACTCTGTCACTCACTCTGGAGTGCAGGAGCACACAGCTCACTGCAGTCACGACCTCTTGGGCTCAGGTGACCTTTCTGCCTCAGCCTCCCAAGTAGCTGGGACTATAGGTGTGCGCCACCATGCCTGACTAATTTTTTTTATGTTTTGTAGAGATGAGGTTTGGCAATGTTGCCTAGACTGGTCTCAAACTCCTAGGCTCAAGCAATCCTCCCACCTCAGCCTCCCAGAGTGCTGAGACTATAGGTGTAGGCCATCGCACCCTGCCCCTAACAGTTTTTAGATAGTGCCAAAGTAACAAGAGCATTGTATAAGTACTCAAATATGAACCTTCAGTTTGGCAGCATTTGGACTTACATGTCTAAGTGCCTATTAAACATTCACTCACTAAATATGTGACTAGGTCATATATTGAGATAAAAGACTAAGACCCTGGTCTCGAGTTCAATCTAACACTTACACTATCAGTTATGGTTTAGCATGTTAAGAGCCAGTGTAATACAAGTGTAAAATGTCTAAGGAGCACAGATGATGCAAATCTAATCCATTCTGAGAGGTCTAGGAAGGGTTTCCAAAGGACCTTTTTGACAAGAATATTGACAGACACGATCTTTTAAATCAATTAAACAAAAGTGAGTCAGATAAAGAAGAGAAAAGAAGTACAAAGAGGCTGCATCTTAGAGGGCAGAGGTAGAAAGTGTTCCAGGAAGACAAAAGAACAGGTATAAAGACACAAAGGCAAGAAAAAACAGAGTGTCTTCTTCAAGGAACTCTAAGAAGTTTAATAAGGCCAAAGCACAGGGTGCAATGAGAAGAGTAGAGAGGTACAAGGATGCAGAGGGAGACTGAGACCAGAAAATGGAAGATTTCCTATTATGCTCAGAGCAGCACAATTCAGTGGCTGGAAGCATGAGGGAGGAAAGGCTCTGCCCAGGCTCAAATCCCAGGTCCATTCCATACTACTTAGGTGGCTATGGGCAAGTAACTTAACATCTAGGTGCCTCAGTATCCTCACCTGTGCTATGAGGTATTTAAATTACTGTCCATGTAAGAATGAAGTGAAACAACAATGCACATAAAAGGCTTAGAACAATGCTGGATAGATAGAAAGTGCTCAATAAATGTTAGCAATTATCAGTATCATCACCTTTATCAATCCTATTGGCTTTATAGTATAAACTATAATCATAAACCCTTAATACCTATAGTAGTTCTCTCACTACCCTTTCTACTTTATTACGTTATAGGCATTTTCCTAAATTTTATCCCCCTTAGTAGACATTTTTAGATCTCCCCACAGAGCTACTCAAAATAGCTTCCAAAGAATAGGCATTAGAAGACTTGAGAAAAAGCTAAAACCAATAAATTAAATTTTCAAAGCTGTAGCTTAAAGACGAATCCTCCAATTTGCTGGTGCCACTAAAATATGTAATAGATATTCAATAAATCTTAGCCACATCAATGAAAAATATACAATTCTAAATAATAAACAAATGATTCAGCAAAGTTTTAGAGTGCCTCCAACTTCATAAATGTATGAAAAGAGTAGCACACAGAGAAAAATCAACAAAGAGTACCTGAAAATTACAAAAATAAGATTTGACAACTGCTCTTATCAAGCAGATACGCATTTTAGTGACTTGTGTCTTAGTGA